GGACATCTGTAATCTGATATATTCTTATACATGAATGTCAGAGGAAATCTTAGCAGTCTTCAAAAATCATATGTAAATATAATTTGGTCATATTTGAATTGTAATAAAATGTATTAGTTAAGCATAAATGACGGAAAGTGTTTATATTCTATCTTGGCTCTTGTTTCACTAAACTGTTTTGTCATCTTACTGATACATTTTCACACATTTACTGGCTTATGTGTGCTGAACTGTCAAGCCCTGTAAATGGCTGCACTTTTGGAGGTCCGTTTTAAACAGTATTTCAATAATTGGCTGCTGATAAATCAGGGATTATGAGATGCGCCACAGTGTCCAGAGAAAAAAGAATCAATCTAGGAAACAAAATCCACTATTCCTATAGTGGCAGAAGTCACATCTCACTCTTGCAAAGGCAGTGTTTCACATAGTGTTTCCATTTTCATCAGGAGAAAAGGAAAGCATATCATATTAAGAGAGCTTCTAGACTGGCAGGGATTTAATTTTGATCTCATGGCACTCCTTCACCATACCAGTCTTCTGTATTTTTTACTAGATTTGAAGTCCTCAGTGAATGCTTGACTGGATTCTCATCCAAATCTGGTAAAGATAACGGGGCTTTGTCGCTGTGGCTTAATGTTATTGTGGCTTAGTTAATGCAAAGTTAATGCCTGACTTTTAAGGGAGGGTAATTGTAAAGAAAATGATAACAAAGAGGAGCTTTATAAAGATTCTTAAAAGGTTTTATTACTTCATCTTTCATATTTATTAAATGAATTTAAAAAATGGTGCAGTGGAACAAATCTGATGGACTTGTTTAGGTATAACACCCATCATGTGTAAATGTGAAGTCTGAATATACAGTAGTCTACATAGTGCAGTCCATAAGTATTTGGACAGTGACACAATTTTTGCTGTTTTGGCTCTGTTCTCCAGCACATTGGATTTGAAATAAACCAATGACTATAAGGTTAAAGTGCAGAATGTCAGCTTTAGTTCAAGGGTATTTCCATCTATATTGGATGAACCGTATAGGAATCACAGCCCTTTTTAGACATAGTCCCTCCATTTCATGGGACCAAAAGTAATTGGACACATTAACATAATCTTAAATAAAATTTGGCATGTTTGCAAATCCTTTGCAATTGATGACTGCCTGAAGTGTGCAACCCATTGACATCACCAAACGCTGGGTATCTTTCCTGGTCATGCTCTGCCAGGCCTGTAATTCAGCCATTTTTAGTTCCTGCTTGTTTCAGGAGCTTTTTGCTTTCAGTCTTGTCTTCAGTAAGTGAAATGCATGCTCAGTGGGATTCAGGTCGGGTCATTGACTTGGCCAGTGAAGAACATTCCACTTTTTGGCCCTGAAAAACTCCATAGTTACTTTAGCAGTATGTTTGGGGTTATTGTCCTACTGCAAGGTGAAGCACCATCCAATGAGTTTTGAAGCATTTGGTTGGATCTGAGCAGATAAGATGTTTATGTACACTTCAGAATTCATCCTGCTGCTGCTGTCTGCAGTTACATCATCAATAAAGGCAAGTGAGCCAGGTCCACAGGCAGCCATACATGGCCAAACCATGACACTCCCTTCACCATGCTTCACAGATAAAGTGCTATGCTTTGGATTATGAGCAGTTCATCTTATCTGACCATAAAGCTTTGTCCCAGAACTCTAGAGGCTTTTTTATGGACTTTTTAGCAAACTGTAACCTGGCCTTTCTGTGGCCTTTCTTACCAGTGGTTTGCATCTTATGGTGAACCCTCTAAGATTATGCTGGTGTATTCTTCTCTTTATGGTAGTCTTTGACACACCTATGCCTACATCCTAGAGAGTGTTCCTGATCTGTTCAACAGTCAAAAAGGGTTTTTTCTTCACGATTCAAAGTATTCTTTGGTCATCCACTACTGTGGTCTTCCGTGGTCTACCAAGTCGTTTGCTATTGCTTATCTCACCAGTGCGTTCTTGCTTCGTAACAATGTACCAGACAGCCGATTTTGACACACCTAGTGTTTTGGCTATGTCTCTGATTGATTTATTCTGATTTTTCAGCCTCATGATGGCCCCCTTTAATGGCATTAACACTTCTTTGGTCCTCAAGTTGAGAGACAACAGCAACAGACTCCAGATGCAAATGTCACATCCAGAATCATCTCTAGACCTTTTGTTAGCTCACTTGTGCATGAACTAACAATGCAACGAGACATAGCTGGCCAAGAAACAACTGAGCAGCCAATTGTCCAATTACATTTGGTCCCCTAAAATGGGAGGACTACGTATGAAAAGCTCTGTGATGCCTATATGGTTCACCCAATATAAACATAAATACCCTCAAATAAAGCTGACTTCTGCACTTTAACCCCATAGTCATTGTTTCATTTCAAATCCAAAGTGCTGGAGTACAGAGCCAAAACAGCACAAATTGTTTCACTGTCCAAATACTTAGACTGCACCGTACATTTTGGAAAACACTCCAAGAGCCTAACGGACTTATCAAAATTTATTTGTGTTAACTCAATAATGATTTTTTTTACGAGTGCACTCAAAATGACAATGTCATGCTTTGTGCTTCGTGCTAGAAACTTGATGCAGTGAATTTGTTTCCCGATCGCTGTTTTTAATCATCCTTGGCACAGGATGGGCATAATTCACAGCAGTCTCTTCCTCATCTTAATTTGGTCTGTTTCCTTCTCTCTCAGGTGACTTCTTTATTAGATTATCTCCGTTAACCTTAACAAGCCACCTTAATAATGCTAGATTGATGTTCCTGTTATGATTTTTTTGATGATGAATTTCTGCAAACGTAAAGAAACTCAATTATTTTAATGGTAAAAGAATTGTGATGCTTTTGTGTGTCCTAATGACCATGTAGGGCAAAAAGCTTTGTGCCGAGTATTACACCTTTAAAAACAATAAGCCAAAGTGTTAAAATCTGTTTAGAACATTAGTAGTGCTGCTTCTGAATAGAACACCCCCAATGAAAGTGTTTCCTGAAAATAATAAAGTAAGGACATTAAAACACTTTCTTCCGTGAGTTGCATTTGGAAAGACTGGCCCTAGAGGACAGTCGAATATTCATTTAGGATTAAAAGATTATCAGCAATTATAATCAACAAGAATATCGTATTAACTTTATTATGTTAGTGTTTCCTCATTTGAGAAAGAATGACTGCAGAATATCATTTGCATTTTAACCATGATTGCTTTCAGAATCTATTGATTGGGTTTTTGTATGTTTATTTCACCATAAATAGATTTTAATCTCAAACTTGCTCACATATATTGAAAATTATCTCAGTGTAAGAAACACAACTTGTCCTCAAACATGATTATATTTTCTTTGTACCTATTAGTTCATTCCAGAGATTGTATAATAATAAAATCCCTTTACCGTATATCTTGTATATTAACGTAAATGTGCACATTTTTTTTCAAAACTGTGATTCTCCACATATTAACATCTTTTTATCACCTGTTTTTTCTTTCATAATCAAGACCAGTTTGGGCTTTTACAGCATGTTGTAATCCATAACATAGTGTAGCATAGTAATTGGAAAATGAAATGTCTATAGTCTTAAGTGTTACAGTTTTATTTTTTAGACAGTATGCAGAATTTGATCTTGTGTTCTCTGTATATATTGATTGTAAATTTTTGTTCTCATTTGTTTTCTAAGGAAAATTGTGATATATAACATAGTTATCTTTGGGTTCTTGTAATTTTCTAAATCTTTTCATTACAATCTTGTATCGTGAGCATTTCTCACGCGTCTTGAATATTTGCATGTATATGCTAACATATTTTTAGAACAAGAGAGAAACACAGAGTGGTAGTTATAGTTCCAATTACTGCTTTCAAGGCTAACATTATGAAAATATTCTTTTCTATTAAAAATTTAAACAGGGCAAGATTAAATATTAAACACTGCAGTTGTGAGAACAAGATGCAGTATGAAACATCTTGCGTTCTATTTATAATTCATAATCTATTGTCTCTGATTAAAAACTTTGGGCTGTTTTTGTCTATCACAATCTATAAAGCCAGTCACGGAAACAGAAATCTGACAGCACAGTACATAATTGCAGATTTATTTCTATAGCTGAAGCACCTACACAAAGCCACAGAAGTGAACAGTGAATTCACATCTTTGTTTGCAAAATAACATTATATGTCCATCTCTCTGAAGAGAGGGTTTTTAGGAGTTGTGGTCATACCACACTCCAAATTACTTGGTAAATTTCCCCAGAGCACAAAGAACTGCTACTTTAACTTTTCACAAGACCATGTGGCATAGCATCAAGGCTTGGGTATGAGCGTACTTCAACAGAAATATAGTGCATTTAGTCTTGTGTTGATACATAAATCCAAAAATTTAACTTAATATGTTGTCTCTCCCCCCCAACCCCCACCCTGTGGATAAGAAGTGAGCTCGAACCAGAGCAGTCCAGTCAATGAGTTTCCTGACTGCAGGGAGGGTGGCAGCGAGGCCAGCCTGCTGGTGTCTCCCCTGGTGGTGGCAGGCATCGTCATCGGTCTGGTTCTCTTCCTGTCCTGTGTCACCATCATTGTTGGCAGCCTGCGCAAGGACGGACGCCTCCGGAACCCACATCTCCGCCCTGAGTCCAGCTACGGTGAGCCAAGCACATGTAATGCAGACAAGGGGACAGTAAATTAAAAAACTCTGGACAGACACTGCGTTTATGCTGATCTAGAAATGTAGAAATATCCTCACACACTGTCAGAAGTCATCACCATTCCTTTGATAACTTTAAAAAATGATACATTTGTAAAGTCTTGATGTTCAGAATAAAAGCTCCCCAATTCAGCAGTTAAATTTTACTTTCAGTTCTTTCATTGAAATGATCAATCAGCAGAAGTGTGACAGAAATAGCCCAAACACTTCTACGCACAAATTTCACCATGTCACAGAATAAGAACGTCTTCATCCTGAGTCCAGCTACAGTAAACCAAGCAACAGCAGTGTTAACAAGGTGGCAGTAACTACAAACCTGAAACAAAAACACTGGACAGACGTTGTGTTTATGTTGGCGTGCAAGGTAGAAAAATCATTTGTTTATAATGATGGAGTGACTTACTTTCTGGTATAATCCATCAGCTTTCCATTGATAACTTTAAAGGGTGATAAATGTGTAAATAAAGTCTGTACAGTATGTTCAGCATAAAAGCCTCTCAATTCAGCAGTTAAATCATTTTCATTTACCTCCAGTTCTTTCCTTGAAATATTCAGCCAGCACAAGTGAAACAGAAATAACCCAGACAATGTGATTGTTGTATTTACATACATTCAAGCAAAACCCTTTCCTATTACAATTACTATTTTGAGGGAAATTCCAAACGCTTGCCAGATTATTGTGTGATGAAGCAGTCCTTCAAAGATGATGATGAGGGACAATAAAATGCCCCTGTTTCCCCAGTGGAGACGCATTTTCCCACAAATACCAGTTTAGCATAGTGGTGGTTTAAAAATAAAATTATACTTTTACCAAGCAACTGTTGTGCATGAAAAAATCAAGGCTTAACCTTTACATGGAAAAATGCTATCCATATATTTAGTAAATATATTCAAAGAATTCCAAAGCATTGGTTTAACCTTTAATAAAAATAATAAGGTATACTAGAAAGACTTCTCAACCCGGAAAACATTTATAGACAACTTTTCACATCAGAAACACTGGAGATGCAGGGATTAAAAGCCCTACTATGGTTCATTTGAGGAGTCACATTATACATTTTTAAATTCAAACTCTCTGCATAACTCATTGTTGTGCACTGTCCACAAAATTAACATAAAGCAGCCCTCCCCAATTCTCTTTAATGGTTAAGCCACAACAATTACCTTACAAGAGCATGCATAATAAAAGTACTGCACCACAGTACTGCTTCCCTGCATTAACACAGCATTTCAGACAGGTTATCAGCTAAAGGCAGTGGAAGTCTCTCAAGGTTACTCACATGAAACATTTTAGGTTAGGCAAACAGTGACAACTACCATAAGTAAAAACATCTTCCATGCTCCAATGAAGCTGAAGAAAAGCAGCTTTTAAACAATAAAAGCAATAGTGAAATTCCAGCTACACAGTGCTACTCAAGACAAAAGAAATGCAGAAGTACATTCCATGGTATTTGAAACAGCTAGTCTTTGAGAATAGAGACAGTATTAATTTGTTAACTTTCAAACCGTCAGAATAGAAAGGCAGACTGGCATTGCTGTAAGTGAATGTAGTGAGTAAAATTTAATTTACTAATACATTTTTTCACCATAACCAGGATGCTACAGTTGTTGTTTTTTTACATAACTTCACTATTAATATACAGCAAAAATAAAAATAAACAGCAGCTTCTTCCATTATTAAGACTTGCAAACTTGCTGGCTTGAACGTAATATAAAAAGCTGGCCTGTATCGATAGCGCAGTGCTTCTAAACACTGACAAGCACAAGGCATTAAAATCATCCATGATCTGTTGTTGACTTAGAAATCTGCAGTCTGTGACCTGCTGCCAGATTGAGTATATTAAAAGTGAGATGAAACTGCTTTGGTCAAAGTACTTAGGGACCTTAACCTTAAAGGTAGTGCTTGCTGGTGGATTTAGCTTTCTTCCAACTGACATCATGTAAAAGGTCTTTCACACAGTCAAATATCAGTCTTTGTTGGGAGCAGCATCACTATTGATTTCCCTGGTTCTTGAAAGGATAGCAAGAAAAAAAAACATTTTGCTCACTCAGTTAAACAGGGGTGACCCCAGTGTACCTGAAAGCAAGGATCTTCTCTGAAGCTGTGTGAAAAATACCAATTTTCACTTGAAAAAAAAAATTCTTACACACACCTTTTCACAAGGCATACTCTGAAGATAAAACACGCTTAGTGTTGTTCTTCCTGCTATTGTTTCTCAAGGAGTTAAGATGTTGTAGCACCCGTGCTGAATATACAGTATGTGTTTTTATTGAGTATTTGATCTTTCAATTTAAAAAAATATATTCACAGTTAAATGAGATGTATGCAGGTGCATTAAAATTTCAGTGTTTGAGAAACGAAATTGTTTTATGTAGAGAAATTACATATCTCATTACCACATACATAAATAGGATGTGCCAAGAATAATTCTTTGAACCCCACAGAATTTCAAGCATTGTTGTTTTTTGGCTGTTCTATTGTCACGGAACATAGAAGGTGTTACCACCTCCTCACTTGATCTCATTAGATCTTAAAAGATGGGCCTGCTCAGTAGTAGGATGGAAGACCTCTAAAAAAAATTAGATTACTGCTCTAAACTGTGTCTTTGAGACAGAAGGTGACCCCTTTTCCCTGGACCAGAATTTCCAAGTCAATCCATGAGTCTCGTGTCTGAGGATACTGTCAAAAGGACACACTGTCCTGACTAAGATGTTAAACTGAGGTCCTGACTGCTAATGATCCCATTGCATTGTTCATGAGACTAGGGGTGTTCTGGTTCAAATGCACTCTGGGCTTGCACTATCAGACCTGCCTTAATTCAATTGACAGAGAAGGTGCTGGTATAATTGTTGACATGCACTAACCCAGGTGAGAGTTATCCTTTGCCAGTTTTATACAAAGAGCTGTATACATAGGATTAAGTGGATCCCCTCTTATATATTAAGTTCTCGGGGATTCTCTGGTTTGAAAAGCACTACAATATGTAAATATAAGGAATAAAATGTTTCTGGGGTAATAAAATAAAATTGTCATAAAAAAGTCAATATATAGTAAAAAAAAAGTTAGCTAAAAGAAGCTTTCTGTCATATGACTTCTGACATCTTAAGCCCTTTCTTGCTAAACAAGGAAGGGGCTTCAATCAGAAAATAATTGTCTTAGTTGTGGTTGATATCTTTTGTTTGCCTGGCTGTAATCTTGCAATCATCTTGTTTTCAGCTACTGATGGCTTCTCCTATAGTGGGTCTGTTGGGGATCTGAGGTCAAGGTGTATTGAGGAATTCCCACCAGCCTTCGATTTCGACTCGTATGTGGAGACAGTCTCTCAAGTCAACGTGATGTATCCTGACTCACCTCCTCAGTAAGTAACTTTCATTGTTACTCATAGATTCACCGAGTGAGGCATAGTGGGGAGCACTACTGCCTCACAGCTCCAGAGATACTACTGTAGTTTCAATTCCAGGCTGGGGAATCTATCTGTGTGGAGACTGCATGTTATCTCCATGTTTGCATGAGTACACCAATTGCCTCCTAGCTCCCAAAGACATGCACATGTCTCCTCTAAACAATGGTTTCATTTGTGAGGCATTTATTCCCACTTCATTCAGTACTTTGTCCCTAAATATATAAAGCCAGTGTGTTGAATAGCCTTCTCTCGTTAGGTCTTCTGAAGTTTCCCTGGTGTTTATCTGCATGAGGAAGCACCTGGGTTTCCCAATTCATTACTTGCCTATCAGTAGAGTGACTTTGGGACCTGTCTTTCAGAGCACAAAAAGAATGGTCTGTTTCCCATATAAAATTTGAATTTCTAGTACAATTTTCTAATATGACCTCTACCCTGTTAGTTATTAAATACGATTAGAAATAATAGCTTTTTTAGTGATCGGGAAATGTGGTTTTTAAACTTTGTAAGGCTATTTTTATATTGTAATACCTCCCTTGTAGAGAAACCAAAATTGTATATACATAGCATGTACTGTGCATTCAGAAAAAAACAATAATGGTTCCAATATTTTTTACAAGGTATGCATTGCTGCTGATACCAATGCAAAAATATATAAAGATAATGAAAGATCTATAATTGTTTTTCTTTTAAAGACTAGAAATCCCTTTCTTATGTTCCTGTTAAATGTGAGTTCTTAAAGGCCCTCCTGTTTTCCCAGTTTCTGTGTAATGTGTTTTCTCCAGGCTCACACATTGGTAGTGTATGTGTGAAGTTCTGCCCTTCATACACAGAAGGCTGCTTATAAAAATATATTACAGTTGGGACTAGAACACAAAACTGTGACAAGAACGGACAAGCTAATGTTTTGACGTGAACTGTCCTCTTCTCAACATTAAAGGAATCTGTCTTTCCCTGATAATGAAACTAGTACTTTGTAAAATGGATAGGGAACTGGGAATAGACAAATGTATGGAATATATTGTGTTCTGCTGTCTCTAATATGTACATGGGTAGTATTTCTGGCAGTGACAAAGTAATGGAATATATGCATGAGTCCATGGCTAATCAGTAGAAGATTTTCTTTAGCAAAATAAGACTAGCAATTGTTTGATACTGAATATATTCAGAAGATTGATTATGGCTTCACAAATTAGGTAAAGAATTGTACATTTTTTAAGTATTTAAGTTTTTTCCTTTTATGAAATAGAATGCTTCAGCAGGGCTGGTCAATAAAGAAAGCCTTGCAAGGTACTTTACAGTATATTCTCATCCATAAATCATATATATGTCCCTAATGACAATGAGCACTGTCTTCTAAGTTAGCATTAAGGAAGTAATTTCCCCTTGTTAATTCCATCTTTAACCCTTAGGATGGTGAGCTTCCAGCACAAATCTGACTTCTGCTTTCAAAAGCTAAAACAGAATGTTTACGTGCATATAATTTCATCTACAAATTTGTTTTTTAGATGTGTGACATAATGAAGCTTTAAATAAAAATTTAGGAATAATTTCAATAACTTTCTCTATATGTAACCCTTAAAAGAGTCTAGAGCCTCATCTTTCCCAGCCTGTTATTCATCTGTTTGAGTTAAAAAGTGAGCACTGAATTATACAGTACAAGTAATTACACTGCCATAAGGCGGCTTTTATTCTAGAGGGCATGAGCTACACAGAATCTCTTGATCAGAAGCTTTTTCAGTTGGCATTAAACAAGCAGTCCCTTAACAGCCCACCGATATTGATGAAGAGCAAATTAATACAAATAGCACTGGGTTTAACTGATGTCTTTTGGGTGCTTAATATAAAGACTTCCCTGCCATTTTGTCTGTCATTCAGACAGAAACACAAGAAAGAAATGGCTCAACCAATACAAGTGCTGTTCCAAATGCTGGGTGGGCTCTATGATGGTGGGGATCAAGCCTGGGATTTGCCAGGCAGCAGTCCATATCAGAGGAGTCTGCCTAGAAATACTCATGCACTCCTGTGTCTGGTTGCAGGATTAGTAGATGCTAGCTGACGTGATAAAAAACAATTTACTATTCTAAAATGGGTGAGTAAAACAAACATGGTTAGTGATTCTAAATTTGATTCAAAGCCGAAGTAAGATGGTGATATAAAAGCTGTTAATGCTATTAGTTTTATCAACAAAGGACTATAAAAAGTAGAGGAACATTGCCTATTTAATTTTGAAAGTGGCCACAATGGACATGGAGTTTTCAAAAATAGAAGCCCAGACATTTATAACCATTCTTGGACTTGGCATGCCTCAATACTGATGTAGCATTTCAGAGCTGGAGAATAATTTAACAAAAACATACATATAGTATCCCTTGTAATACAGAATCTTAATAAAGATTAAACCCTTTTTTAAGAAACTACAGTAAATCACAGGAGAAATAATATGGCAAGTAACAGGACAAAATGGAGGTTTGTATCTCTTTTTCCAAGTTATGTACCCTCAATCACTTGATTAACCACAACTTAACTGCGGGTGGTGAAGGTCTTTCTCCAGCTGGTCCAGCTTGCAGCAGTGAAAGCACATGTTGCCGCTGGACTGTATTCATGATTCACTCCAAAGTGCCCTTGGCTACACTGCTGTTTCAAGTCATATAGTGCAGGCTTTGCAGTTTCATAAACAAAATTGGAGAGCACTTAAGATAGCAGCACTGGGGATGCTAAAGACATTGATGAATAGATTCATTAAGAGCAGATCATTTCAGAAAAATTCTATACTGCCAAATATGCAGAAAACGCAATAAGCATATCGATTTTAAGGGACTGAGAAGCAGTTAACAAGCACTTTGATGTGTACTGTCCAATGGTTTATTAACTGGAATAATAATACTTCAAAATATAACATGCTGAAACAAATTACTGTATATATTTGAACCATTTGTATTCCAAATCTAATAAACGTGGAAAGGAACATATGCAAACAGTGAAACCTCACACATGGTAAAAAATCTATAGGGAGCATGTGATACAGGGTTTTAACATAAGAAAAGGTATGTGATCTTGCTTCACTGTTTTTGTACTAGGAAAATGTCATTTACAGTGTCTAAATTAATGTCCAAAGAAACAATTTCTGCAAATGAATAACATCACGTTCTATTTAAGTGTACCTTGGTCTCTGACAAACCTCAGAAAATAGATTTTTTTAACCCACAAAACCATTATGCTGGAAGATTTAATAATAAGAACAGGTCACCATTCACAACTTCAGTTTTGCACTGTATGAACATAATCTAACTCAGATGGACCTAGTCAATTTGCTCAAGCAAAATGTGTTTTATTCATTTCATATTTAGAAATTTAGTAAATCTCTAAGCCAGTGAAAAAGTTCACATATTTCATTGCATTGGTAACATTTCCTTTTTCTTACTAGCTCTTAGAAATATGAGCACAAAGCAGAACTCAGAATTCAAGTCAGAGGAGTAATTCTACAGCATCTCTAAAAACATAAGCAGTAAAGGACCTCAGATTTGATTTGACCAGTGCATGTCTCTGTGATCTCAATTCCTTACATGAACAGAATGAGTTACAGCCAAAATATGGTCAGCTTGTCCCAAAGTTGCCTTAAAAGTGCATCATCACACTGCCATAATATGCCCCTCCAGAAATATTAATGGCAATGTAATGAAGCTGAAATGTGCTCCAGTTTCTGTCTGTTTTATTTTACATGGAGGGCCAGAGAATATTGACAAGTATGAACTGAACTGAGACAGAACGGCGCTTGCTTGCCCTTCATGCCTTGTTTCACTGAGTCACAATATTATTTACATTTATATGACAGTTCCATTATGACACCAGACCCTTTCCTCTGAGCCCTGTAAGAGAGCTTTTAAAGAGGGTGAAATTACTTTTCCTAGCACCCAGACCACATCTGAAAAAGCGGGCCTTGTCATGTTTAACAGCAAATTTTGAAGAATATGGAATATTACTCCAGAGTCATAGGCTATTAAGTGTCACTGAATAGTTTGTAATTCAGTTGTGAGAGATATCTAGCCATCCCATTTTCATTTTCGCACTTTTTTCAGCATAAGCTTTATCTGTAGCTTTTATAGGTTTAATAGAAAGGGAACTTATGACAAAATATGAAACAGCTGCCACCCTCTTTCAATTTAAGGCCCTTATAAATTCTGCAATAATTATATCATCAGTATTTAAACCAGATTATTGCCATTAAACTACAGATGATGAAGAAAAAATACAGAAACACTTTTGCCTTTAGATATATTAACCATTTTTACACACCCACACAGATACTGAATCTCAAAGTCTGTAGTACTTTTTCTTCTTGTGGTAAATATTTCCAGTTTAATCCAGGTCTTGGTCCTTTGAAGAGCTATGTTTCTCTTAGGTTTGCAGCTTTGTCTTCAACTTTATTTTTCTTTAGAGAATCCTTCTTGATGATGTGGTGGTCTGGTTTTATTGTAGCATAGCTCTTAAATTAACAGCGAATTTGTTCTTTTTTTCAATGTTTAATATTCAAGTACTGTGCATTAGTTTGTTTTCTGTGGTGGTTTGTTACAATGGCCAACTTTGTTTTCATTACAAATGCAGGAGCTACAAATTAACCTTCCTTTTCAAACCTAGTTTACCTAAGCAATCAAATTTTGCAAAAGAAACATTGAGATTGTACATGATACTGCATATAATTATAATGATTATTATAATAAAGCTTCCATATAAATGGCTTCTTTATTTAGCTTGAAAAGAACAGTATTTTATTCAGACGTATTGTGCAAAGCTATTAAATAGAGGGAAAGCATTCCAGGACATAGGTTGCTATGGCTGAGCTGTGGGTGTTTAACAGAGCACTTCATCACTGCTCCTGCATTTTCAAGCCTTCATCCATCTCTTCTCCTTAGTTGGGGGAATAGAAAGTGATTCCTCATAACAGAGTTGGCGAGACT